CGCACCCCCGGGGGCTTGGCTGACACCGGCCTCGGAGACCCCGGCCCTGTAACTAGTGTTGTTTTGCTCTTGCCGAGATTGTGCTTTCAGCTTTGCTTCCCAGGACTGCCGTCTCATCTTGCCTTTTTGTTCCACTGCGTGCTTTGTCCTAGCGACTAACAGGTTCTGTAAAATTAACAACAGGCACATAGATGAGTCCGTCGACGTTTTCAAGATGCCATTTTACTATAGATTTTGAATTTTTCATCCCCCCATCGTTTTATAACATCTCAAACTCTCCATAGAACAGGAACAATCCTTCTTCATTATGATTCCTGTTGTATTGTTTATGGAGGATTAATTTATATTTATGCACTAAAACACAACATCCTTGACATCCTTTTATAAATATGGAGAAATATACTTGTCATATGCTTGTGGGTTTCTCTTCTGCAGGTTTGACAGTGCAGCTCCATCAGCTTAATTGACCTTGGCAATCAGCATCTCCTGGCGACGTGTCCCTGAGGGACCGCGTCTGCGATTCTAGGCTGTGGTGTATTGAAGAACTTGTGTGTCACAAGACAATTAAGTCTATATAAAAAGAATCATTTCATGCATAACATTAAATTGACTAAAAGTTTCCATTTCAAAACCACTTCTGGTTTTAAAGCTACCTCAGAGTGTGTGTTTGTTTTTTGTTTTGTTTTTTTCTAAATAAACTCATTCGAACATTGTAGTAATTAAAGCAGGAAATTAACATAAATCTTCCATGTTGGGTATGAATGGAGGATGTTTTCTTTCTTTTTAAAGACTGAAAACTGCAGGCACCATATATTTAACACATTTCTCTCCCATTTGCAGAACAACATAGACTGTGAATAAGCATGTTCTGGGGTTCTTTCTCAAGTTCTTTTTCTGTCCGGCTATGGAGCTCCCCAGACATATGCCGCAGAAGCCTTCAAGATGCCATCTCATGGAAATCTGTGGAAAAGCTGCCTGATTCTCACCGAAAATCCCTCCCCCTCCCCCGTTGGGTTGTGAACAGGAAAGAAAGAATACAACACTTCTATTAATATTGCTTTACCTCTGCACAGGAGGCAGCAAGCAGTTAGTCATTTTGCAAATATAAATATACTTTGTCTTCACCCTCCTTCCAGCCTAGATAAACGCAGAAGCAGGACGTGTGCCCCTCGGTCTGTGCACCCTGCATCCCCTGCGAGCCACATGGGGGGGCCCGTGGGCGCCCGTGTTCCCCCTGAACTGCCGTGGGGGGTGCCTGGCGGAGCCGGCGCGAACGGTCTCCATGCGGAGGCGGGCGGGAGCCTTCCCCGTGAGAAGCACCTGAAGGGACAGATGCCTTTCTGACAAAATAGGAGTAAAATGGTTTTCTTTTCCTGAATCCATGATTTGATGGCTATGTAAAATACTTTGGAGCTTTAAAAATATGGTTGAGTAATAGAAATAACTGTTATATTTCCCAAGAGTCATTGAAATCATGGAGACATACTATCAGATTCCACAAAGGTTCAGTAAATAAATTCAGAAGCTCATTCTCTCTCCCCCGCCCGCCAGCCTGCCTCTGTACGTGCACACTTACAAAGGGTCCGCTGTGCCCACAGGGAACCGACGCGGCATGATCCAAGCCATTTGGTGACCCGGCGGCAGTGAACAGCTGTCTTTGTGTTGGCCGCTGACATTCATATAAGTTGTCTATGTTCTACTTTTTCAAGGAACCTTTTTAGATATTGATAAGTATTAGATATTAAATGGACACAAATGATTTCTATTTCTGTTGACGCAAGCTTTACTGCACTATGTTGAACACCCTCATAACCAATGGCTTGTCCTCTCAGTGGCTTTCCTGTCTATTCGTTCGAGCAAACCATGAGCACGTTTCACGGGGAGCAAGTTAAGAAGAGTAAGGGAGACGGTCAGTAGATAGTCTTCCAAAGGAGGCTGAGGTCCTTGTCAGTGAAAGAAAAGTCCTTTTGTTTTGGAACAGCATCAGACGTCTGTTTGATTATTGGTGAGATTAGCTGGATGTTACCAATTCTAAAACAATTCAGGCTGCTGGTATGCAGGACAAAGGCTTCGAACATTGAGGAAAAAGAGCATATGTTTAAGAGTAAACATGAGTCTGAGTAAATGTTTAGGGACATAAAATAACACAATGTGTTCACAATGGAAAGACCCGTGAATAGAATAGCACTTTGATTCCGTATATAAATGCTCTGTAGGTGGCTAATGGTATTGGTGCTGAATATTTTAAGAAATGCAAGAGTTACTTATTAAACTTATGGTAACATCTCCTGACTACTTATTGATTGAGCTAGTGATGCAGCTCTAATGTGAAAGTGAATCAATCTATATACATTTTTAAAGCATGAGAAATTATACAGCACATCAGTCAAGAACTTCAGTCTAATTCAGCACCTACTGTGTAGATTGCACTGTACTCAAGGGTAGATTCAAGCTTTGTGAGGCCCGAAGCTTCTGTACAGGGTGGAGCAAAAGTAGGGTTTACAGCTGTGAGTATACAAAACACAGTTTATTCTCGTATTGTTGTTTGTTTATTATTGTATTCATTCCCATAGGAAGAGCTGTAAACTGCCTTTGGCCCCACCCTGCAGTCTAAAGACTCCTCTATAGAAAAGACAATTTACATATTTAAATTTAGGCGCTGAGCCTTGGAAGCAGCCCAAGCAAGTGGGAGACCCTGAAGCCTAAGCTTCTGTAACTTCACGGAATATATGTGTCTCTAACTATAATAGCTGTTGAAGGAAGTGAAAGGTAACTAAGGCATCCTCCCCACCTTGCTCAAGCTTGGAGCGAATGCTGTGCTAACCTTCAAGGACGTTCTTGTAAACAAATGAGAAAGATGTTTGAAAGAGCTTCGATTTCCTGGTGAGATAATTTTGAATTCCTTCTCATTTAAGCACCGTCTTTGTTTCAGGTGCTCTGTAGGACAAAGTTATGTCAAAGTCTTGGACACATAAGGTCACTTGTTATACAGAAGAATTATTTGTTACTGTCCAGACGTACCCCGTTGCAGAGGCCGCTTGGTGGCGATGTGTTACAGGCGCCATTTCCAGAAAAGGTGAATGGAGGAGCCAAGCTCACTGCTGGCTTTCTTGCAACCCAGGTTACTCTCCACAGATGGTAGTGATGATCTGTTATGCAACGAGGAGCAAACGATAAAGGTCTCTTTTCATGTGACCTTTAAAGACATTAGAAAAATCTTCTAAAAATGCCATTCTGCATTGGAAATAATTACATGAATATTTAATTTTACTCTCAATGAAAGGTGAAATCACATCAGAGATGCAAACAGCAGCAGATTTTTAAATAAGAACCTGAACACAATAGCATCGACCCAGCTACTCACCTGCCCGCCCACGTGTCCAAGGAACGGAGAGTCTCCTAACCTCTGAGGTGGCCCCGGCTCTGGGGCGCAGCCCCGAGTGAGGCGGACACTCTCCTGTTCTCGTGGAGCCTGCAGTCGTGCGGGGAAACACAGCCCAGTGCGATGCCTTAATAATTTCCTAAAATTCTAATATTCTTTAAGTAGAAAGCTACATATGTATACCAGCGTTTATTTTTGTTTCTGTTATTACTCAGAAGAAACTGGTTTTTGGTGTCAGGATAACATTTTTTTACATTGGTTATCTTACTTTTTTATGTTTGACTTAATTTGTTCAACTACGAACTTCCAGGATCTTCCAGTCTTTTCTCCTTTAGTGTAAGTTGACATATACTCTTGTTTGCTCATTTTTAATTGACTCTGTTGAGGTGACATTGGCGGATAAAATTCTCGAGGCTTCAGCTGTGCAGTTCGGCAGCAGGTCGCCTGTGTATTGCATTGTGCGTTCACTCCGAGCCAAGTCTCCGTCCATCGGCACCGATGATCTCTGCACCCTCTCCTGCCTCGCGCGCCCTTCCCCCGCGGTTACTACCACACTGTTGTCAGGCTCCTGGATAGAGAGCAGAATGGCAGCGGCCAGAGGGGAGGGGGTTAGGGGCGGGGTGACAACAGTGACGGGATTAAGTCACAGTCTTTTGAACTGGAGTGAAGAACAGTCTCGGTCTGCGCTGAGGGACAGCACTTCAAATTCAGGGCCCAGCTGCCCAGAGCAAAGGGCGTTCTGTCCTGGACACTGGCTCAGCTCGCTCCCTCGTAGGCGGCGCTCTCCGCCCTCCTTCACGCTCCTGGTCAGGGCGGCCTCTTGCGACTTCAGGACGTGTGTCCGGTTGGAGTTCCTTTCGATATTTTTCTTCAAAGAGGCCAACCTCTCCCTCATTCTGTGACATGTTCAGAGTCTTGAAACACAGTATTTAGCAATTATTTTAGCGCATTTGAAACTCTTTTAAGGAACTAATGGTAATGTTTGTATTTGTTGACATTTAAAAAAAACAAATTGATGATTAAAGGTAACTCTCTTCATAGGTCCATTAAATTGCTGAACATTAAGTGTGAATGATTTAGTGTAAATATCAAAGACTTTGTGTTGTTTTGTTTATAAAACTCGTTGTAAAAGAAAGATATTGGCCGTGGACGCTAATTCACGATAGAACTTGGACCTGTGACACAGGAACAGGTTTGGGATTCTGTGAGTGATAACAAATCTGTAAATAATGGTTATGGCCAATAAAGTTTAGAAAATACATGTCAAATCCATTTAAAGGGACTTAAATGAACTTAATGTTCATTAAAATATGTAAAGGGACGTACGTTCCTTCCTGGATTCTTGCTTCTTAGACAAAAACGCCAGATCTGAAACACCGCCCACCCCTGCGGTCTGGAATTCCTGTAGGGAAGCAGTGCAAGAGGTGGTTAAGTCACGACTTTGACTGTGTTCCTCACTCAGATAGTTCATTAACTTCCCATTTCTATGCTTCATTAAAAACAGTCCTTGAATCCCTAGAATAGTAATTAAATCATAATTTTCTTAATCTTCAAATTGTTGTTATATGATGCACAGATTACTCATTGTCTATTGTCTTTCACCTTTTCTTTCCCCCAGTAAAAGCTGCCTTGAGCCCCATCAAATTTAACAGATGGGGCCTCCCAGAAGTGGATCCAGAAACGATGCAAACCAGCGAGCCGTGGGTGTTTGCAGGTGGCGATCTCGTTGGAATGGCGAACACGACTGTGGAATCCGTGAACGATGGGAAGCAAGCATCTTGGTTTATTCACAAATACATACAGGTAGGCCTGTGCAAGCAATTGTAGGGACTTTGCCAAATGTGTAAGCACTGCATTTATTTGTGCTGCGTGTTCATGTGACCATTTCTGTAGGGTATATAATAACTATATATGAAATTGGTCACATGCAGAGTTACTTGGAGGAAATTTCATTATTTTTTGTGTGGACTGCAACTTTTGGTTGACCGGCTGTCTCACTGACCGGTCTGTTCGCTCCTTGAAGAAATGAAAGTGGAATCAGGAGACAAGAGAACAGGCTCGCTCTTTGCGAGGCCAGGTGAAGCCTAGCGAACGTGTGAATTCAGTCTTCAGGGGGGAACAGGATGGGGAGGCAGACAGGCTGGGGGGGGTGTGAAAAGGCAAAGCTGGACCTGGGTCCATAGAGAATGGGAGGTGCTCAGTTTTTCCCTAAATATGTGAATCCTCTTACAGCTTTTAAAATAAAAGACAGAGAAGATTCACTATATTTTATGGTAATTGTGGTTTTGTCACTTGAAAGGATTCTTAAGGGTGTATTTCTCTTAACTTTACTGTTTTCTTTTTATTTCCCTGAATATGATAAAGGTATACTGCAAGAAATGAACATGTTATTTTACTTAACTTCTACTTATGTATTAAGAGAAAGAAACAGACTTTTAGGGACAATGAAAAAAAAATTATGTGCTTTAAAAATACATATTGCTAGGAATAACAGTGTTTGGCACACACAATCCAAAATCTGTGACCAGTACTAGTTTTGGGTTTGACGGAAGGATTCGGGCCTGTCAAATGAAGTGTTTAATTGCCCCTCAGGGCTGGCGTGGAAATGGAAGGCGGATAAAAACCTCTGTCAGATAAAATCGACACCCCGCCCGCCTGCCAGGGGCTGGCTGCCAAGTCCCGGGACTGAGAGCGTGCGAGGCAGGGTGGCCTCCCGTCCACGCTGTCAGGGGCTTCGCTGCGGCCACGGACGCCTCTGAAATGTGTCTGCCCACCTCCCCCGCAGACCCAGTGCCCCGCGCTGAGGCCCAGGCCGTTTCTCAGGCCCAAGTTGGACCCCCATGTCCTCCTTGAAAACCTGTTGAGTCGCCCCCCCACTCAGGATGCAGCCTTGCAATGCTGGCACGAGCCCCCCGACAGGACCAAGGGCTCCCGAGCCTGGCCTGCCCCGGCCCCATCCACCGCACTCCCTGGGACCCTGCCGGGCCTCCAGTGCCTGCTCCCGCCCTCTCCCTCCGCTGCCCCGGCAGCGGCCTGCTTACAGCCTGTCTGCACCCAGGCCCGGGGCCCTGCCTGTTTATTGCCGCACCCTCAGAAGATGCAGTGTGATCACCTATTGCACAGGACAAATGCGTACAGTGAGGTCATCCACTTTAAAGGACTTTAAAGAGGAGTTAAACGAACTCATGGGTGTGATACTGAAGTTCATGGGCCCTAGAAATGAACTGTTTTCTTACAAGTCATAGCACTCACTAAGAAACATTTTCACCATGTCAGAAGCGTATTCATGAATGAAAGTTTCCAGCACCTGGCCTTACGGTTTACATCTGCGTATTTGGAGGGAATGTACCACTAGACAGTGTACTTTGAGCAGTGATGTAATGCACACGTTATAGTAATAATCCATGCATGCATTCAGTGTGCTATTTAGAATCCCCTTGTAATAATACACTTTTTCATGTAAATGTGGTCCTCTAAAGACACCCACGTTGAGCTGTGGCAACTCCCCTGGTGGCCTGGGAGAGCGTCACCGCATTTCCTTACTTCACTGGATCAGTTACCCCTGCCAGAGTCCTGGCTTTTAGGCCCACACTTGACCTTGGGAGGGTACACGTGAATAAATGAGAAGAGTGTAATGCAGTGGTTAGAAACTGGGGCTCTGATTAAATAGGCCTGGTTTCAAACCCAGGTCCGACACTGTCCAACGGCGGTGTGACCTCGGTCAAGTCCCTCACAGCCCCGGGGCGCAGTCTTCTCGGGGCCCCGAACAATTGGAGCCGCTGCCCCACGGGGGTGCAGGGCAGACGATGGAGGAGGATTCGTGGAAAGCTCTTAGGTGAGAGTCTGAGCTACAAAGATTTGTTTGTGTTGTGGGTTACTAGAGATCATTTACTTCGGGTTGATAAATGGTATCAGAGAAAAATCATAAAATAGAAATGACTAGAAGGACAAACTATAGGACTTTAACAAAGATTGAAAGAGGCTATTTCAAGTAATTATAAAAGCATTTTATTTAGCCATTTATTTATTCATCCATATACATCCAAATGTCTATCCATGTAGTCATTCATGCATGGTTTTATTCATTCTTTCAATAAACTATAAATTTTAAAAAAACAGTGCTATACTTTATAGGTAATACTAATCACTAGGTTTATAAATGTGAGCTAAAACATGAGACTCGCCGTTAATAATCTCGCAGTCCGGCAGGGAAGACAGTTGTGGAAACATACGTCTGGTGCAGTGTAATAAACGCGATAATGAGAGACGCAAGGGCACAGGGCAGCGTGGGAGAGACAGCGACGGTCCTGTCCGGGCGTGGGGGTCAGGGTGCGGAGTCCGCAGAAGCTTCGCAGGGAAGTCCGGATGCGCGAAGAGGGAGGACAAGGAGACCCCGAGGGCCCTCGGTCGGGTGGGCTGCGGGCACTGCCCGAGGCGGCCGGAGGGGACCGCCGAGCCTGCTCGTGGCGCAAGGGGGATCCCGGCAGGGCCCCGGCGGCCACGGCCCAGACCTGGTCCCGCTCCCCTCGGCAGCGACCGTCACCGTGCGCCTCCGGTCAGAGCCGGGTGCCCTCCTGGGACCCCCGCAAAGCTGCCTCCTGGCTCCGCGCGCAGCCTCTTCATTTTACCAGAAGGCCGCCTGGGCTAGAGGGGGCTCGGAGTGCAGAGAATGTGCGGGGAGTGAGAGGCGAGAGCTGCGATGACAGGGGCGAGGCCTGGCTGACCGCGCCGGGCTGAGGACCTGAACATGGGTTTGTAAGGAGGCAGCGTGCGGCAGGGGCACTTGCATGAAGAAGCGACACTGTGGGATCTGGTGTTAATAAAGAGGGACCTTTTCTAATTTGTCAATGCTTCCCTCCTTAGGAGTCATCGTTTTATAATATTAAGCTTATTCTTCTTTAACTACCAGTACTCATAACTGATCCAATATGACTTCTGTCATTTTTATACCATGTTAGCGATGTCCGGGCGTATCTGAGTTTTCTCCTTCTCCTTGAAGAAGAGTTGTTGAATATCAGGTCATTTTGACCGTGTACCTGAAGAAAGAGTATGTACTGAAAGAATGACTGTAGCTAAATGAAAAAAATTTTATAAATTTTAAAATTCATTTGTACCTCTGCTTGCATCCTCCTAATGGATGTATTTAACCTGTGTGCGTGTGAACAGATGGAGAGAGAAAAGGTTCTGTACTAGGAAAAAAAGAGCTTAAGCTGCATCGGCCTGTCATAATGATGTTCAAATCTACGGATTGCATGTGTGGAATCATCAGAGAAAAAGATGGGCAATGACGTAACGGGAAGCTAAACTCACTAGAGCTGGTAGATGCTGAAGTCGTCCAGGAACCCAGATCCGTTCTGCCTAAAGTTCCTGGAGAAGCCTCATGAAGAAAGCGGTCCCTGATTCTATCCTTCCTGCCACAGACCTCTGGTGGCCACCTGCCCGTCAGTCACCGTGGTGGTAGCACTGGTGTTTGCGTGGCGTTGATTCAACATCACGCACTTTCTGGTTCCAGTGACCCTGTGGCGTGAGTGCCGTGGTTCCTGCCTTGCAGCTTTGGAAAGCAAAGGCTGTGCAGCAATGCGGAGACCTATCGAAGGTCAGCACGCCGTCGGCAAGGCGGCCAGGCCTTGGCCCCGGGCCGCCCGTCCCTTAGCTCCCCGCCGGGCTCCCTGCCGGGCTCTCTGCCCGACTCTGCTGGGCTGCTTGGCTCCGGGCTCCTGCCCCTGCCCCTCGGCAGCGGCCCTTGACACCTTCCCCCGCAGGATGAGTTAGAATTCAAGGGCAGGACAGTGCGTCAGAACTTGGCCCGGGAGCACCTCCGTAGCTTGGAACTGACATCAGCAGATTGTGAACGGAGGCCACTCTGGGTGTGTAACTTAGTTCCAGTTAAAAATGCACCTGACCCAGAATGAGGAAGAGGAGAGAAAAGTTCAAAGACTGTGGACACAGCACATTGCTAACTTCTGGGGACAGAAAATAGAGACGGTGAGCTTCATCAGCACGATGAAGACTTGACCCCAACTGTTCATTGAGGATAAAAATGAGCCATTTTAATTACATTGGTAAATCCAGAACATTCATGAACAACAAATTGGTTAAATCCAGAATATTCATTAAAAACACAGGAATTCAGGAATACACAGGAATGCAAAGATTCCCTTAAACCGGGAAACAAAAATGAGTAATTAGTTGGTTAATCAGAAGAAATTAAAACAGGAACTGTGGGAAGGATATGCATGCATGTGAAGCATATTTTAACTTGAATCACAGAGATATTTTCACTTCTCTTAAAAAATCTGCTCAGGCCTTTTGAGTCCAGAGGCTGAAGTTCTGTCGTCTTTCTTACCTAAACCTTTCTATAAATATTGTCACAAGTTCTAGTTTTGTTTCTAACGTGGAACAAGTTCTAGTTTTGTTTTTAATGTGGAGGGAAAAATGGACATACCTACCCCAGAAAGTGGCTTTGTGTGGCCTGTGGCTGCCCTGCAGACCCTTGTCTGACCCACACCAACTGTGACAGCAGTTTTTCAGTGACGCTGTTTATCCTGTCTTTTGAAAACATTCAACTTAGTTTTTTCCAGAATCAACTGTCTTTCTTTTCATGTTCCTGTACCTCACCAATTTATGTGTTTTTATTGGCATTTATAACCAACACAAGTAGAGTAAGTAACGTACAACTGACTTCTCATAAGCACAAGGTCACACTGGCTGGTGGAGCAGCAAGGTCACCGGCTCATGGGGCGCTGTGCTCGTTCGGAGGTTCAGCGCCGCCTGGCCGTCCTTAGCGTGTCTCACGTGGCAGA